GCTACTAGGAGCAAGGTCGCTACTAGGGGCTCCTGGCATCGCTACTATAGGAGCAAGGGCGCTACTAGAGGCTCCTGGCATCGCTACGCACGAAACTTGCGCATCGCATCTGCGCTTCCCATGGCCCTTCACTGTATTGGTGGGTGCCAGGGAGTGTGGTGAGATATCTCGGTGTGAAGAATATCTACAAATAAGTTAAAGTCATTGTAACCAGCTGTCAAATTAGAATGATCAGCTGTCAAGCATAGAGGGTTTCAAGGCTTGACAACTGGTGATAGCACCAGAAATTCTGAGCTTTGAGCTGGTGCTGCTTCCAGCAGTTTGTCCCATGCTGGGGCTGAGCGTGTGATTGGCTACTTTTGAAAACTCTTACCAGAAGCTGCAAAGTGCTGCTTCCAGCAGTTTGCACCATGCTTTGGCTGTGCTGGAGGGCATTTTTCTGCTTCTCTTTGACTCCAGCAAGTGGGATCACTCGAAGTTGCTTGAGCCTTGTAACCACTAGTTTGCTCTGTACCTTTTTGCAGTGAGAAGAAGGAAGGAGGGCGGACCCAAACCACCAAAAAAACACATAGAGGGTTTTGCAGGGCTTACATGTATTTATGTGTGAGGTGCGTGCGTTCCCTTAAATATCACTGGAGTAGATGAAAAATGAATTGTGGTGGGTCCTAAACACATGTTCAGCACCTGTGTTGTTTTTCCCGCCGTGTCACGGTTTGTCTGCTTTAAAGAATGGTCAACCATCCGTTTGTTTCAAACGAAAGGTGATCAACTGGTCGGTTTGTGCTCGCACATTAAAAACCTTCAGCTGGCAGCTCCAAGGATAAACGTCCAGTTTTTCCTGACGAACTAGGAAAAGCAATTCCTCACGGTGGATCACTCTGCTGTCAGTACTAAAATCCACAAACGTTTCTTTGACCCACTTCAGAAGATCAAATATCTCAGGGGTCTCTCATCTACATCCACATCAGCGTAGCATTCGCAGGTGTTGGCGCCGTCTTTGTTTTCGATCGTGAATTCATAAGATGCCGAAGGTGTCCCAGAAGACCATGAACATCCTGTGGGTTCATTGGTGTGACAAAGCTAAAATGATGTATATAACAAAAGTACACCAAAACAACTCGCCCAAAAAGGTATTGCTTTGCTGAAGTTCCCATGATCGGGAAGGTCGAGGTCCCATTCGTGCTTTCACAAGCCATCAGGAGCACGCAAACAAAAATGTTGTGCCAAGAAACTGCAGCAAACATCCACGTGGATTCTTTCCCAAAAAACAAATCACGTTTTAACAAATTTGCGATTGCCGCGCATGCACATGTGAATAGCTCCCACAATGCATAGCTCGCAAGTCTTTTCCCATCCAGAATTCCCAGATACTTGATTTGACATCGAAGGCGTTTCTATCAAAACGCGTTCAGACACACATGTTCACCATGTGTGGGTGCCCCAAAGAAAATGCCGCGGCTACAAATGTCATCCTAAATCTGGATACCACTACGGCCAGCCAAGATGGAAGCACGGGCTTCACTGGCCATCCATGCTGCAGATGCTTCCTTCATGTTGCTGCCCGGGTGGTCAATGAAGTACTGTCGCACCTGACAGGGCAGTTAACAGTTAGACTGTTTGACACCGCCATCATCTTGCTTGCAAAGTTGATAAACTGGGGAAAACAGTACTACAAAGTGAAACAAGTTGTGAAAATATGCGAATCCGAGTAACAAATGTCCAACGAGCTGCGCGCATCGCAGATGAACTGGCTGGCTTTTCCTTCAATGTCATGGTGCCCAAACAAAAGAACAGGGCATACACACATTTGTTGATGCATGTGTAGAATTAAAACTCCCTATCAGTTTGTCCCTATCTAAAGGAACATGTATCCATCATATCATATCCATCAACCTGTCCATTTGGCATAGGCTGCGCACAAGTAAGCAGAGTACACAAAACAAACAGAGTACACATTCTGTCCTTGGAACCGCTGGAACCAGACCCATTTCCCGGCACAACCGCATTAGCAGCATTGGAAGGACGAACATCTTCTGTTTGGGCAAAATCAGCATCAAGTCCAGAGGTTCGCAACACCTTCGCTGTACAAACATGTACAAAGATGTAGGGCATGTGATTCAACAGCTTTCCAACCCAGGACATTCAACACATATATTTTGTGGGTTGGATAGTGAAGCCAAAAACAACACTTAAGGCTGGGCACTCCCTTGGAAGCATACTTTGAACGCCATTCCCTGGAGTGTTTCCGCTTGCGCTCTCGCCGGGCTTCCATGATCTTGTCTTTGTCTTCAGCGCTCATATCGCTCGTGATACGGGATCCTTTGAGACCATCTACAGCAGGGGCATCTGAAGCAGGTTCAGAAGGCATTGCATTGTCCGCACCACTTGACACTGGCTGCGCCTGAGAAGTTGAATCCTGAGTGGTTTCCATCTGGAGCGCATCATCCTTGCCCACCATGTCAAAGTCCAATTCTGTAGGGTCGATGTGTACAGGACCCAGCTGGTGGGCCCTTCGTTCACGACCAGATGATGTGGATCCATCCTGAAAGAGAATGCACATCCATTCCCTGAACTTCTCCAATATCCTAACTGACTTGTTTGGAGGGTTGTTGAACAAACAAGTGAACCGATGAGCAGCCTTCATCACTTTGCCAGGGCATCGAGCAGGAGTTTCCATCACAACTGCCGCCTGGAGATTATCCTCAGCTGCTGTGACATTCTAACTATCACTGGGGTTTCATGTGACCAAATATAAAACAAAGGTATGCCATGAGAGCTGCTTCCATGTCTCATACCCATCATCAGCTAACTGGCTCTCTTCCCCCAGCAAGCCCCAACATGTGCGCTTCTCCTCGAAGACTGCACGCATTTGGTTGAGATCCGTGCGCTCCCCCTGCAAGAAACGGTTATATACCATCGTTCATGGTCATTCATTGTTCATAGGTCAAAAAATGTCTGTCAAACTTCTGTTTCAAAAACACTTTGAACTTGTAACATCCTACCTCCCATGGCTGGGTCTCAGCATCATCAGCAGCACAAGCACGATCTTTCTCACGTTCTGCTTCACGGCGTGCAAGTGGACGGGCAATGCCGGCGACCTCCAACTCTTGTCTTATACTTTGGCCCTAAATTTGAAGCACACAGTTTGGACCAAGCAAAAACAGAAATACACAAGGGAACCCCCCCCAAAAAAAGCAAAGTCTAGGTGCCACAGACTCTTCAACGGGCTTTGCCAAATTCATGAACTTGTTGAAGTGAGAGCCTGGGTGAAACTCAAAAGCATTCTTCCGTTGAAGTCCCTCCGTTGGCGCTGGAAGAACCGGCTGTCGAGCACCCACATTCGCATTTGGACCAGGCACAGGAACCATAGGCATCTTGCATCGTGGAGGAACATTGTTGCTCGCACCCTCCAAATGCTCGCCAACCAACCGGGAGTCAATCTCAATGCCCGCATCCACGTCGATGCCAGCCATGTGGATGCTTCTGGTGTAAAACCCTAGCTGAAAGGATGACTTGGTGCTGAGCCCTAACAGTAACAATGCAAAGTGTCGCTTCAAGTTCATACCAAACATACAATGCTTGCATGGTTCTCTCGATGACAAAAACTTTCATAAATTTCTATAACATCGTTTCTTTTTCTGGAAAGCCTTCGCTGGCAACAGATCAGCCCACTACCTTGTAGTAAAGGTTCGGCTCCATGGTGAAACCTCGTTTCACAAACCACAATGGTTTGGCTGGGCCAATCATCTTCTCCTTCTGGTAATGCCTGACCCCTTGGCCAATCAACCAAGCACAAACTGAAACCAGGCATTTTTGGACCCTAACAAACATCAACCACAAGCATAACCTTGGATGCCAAGCGAATCCAAGTCACTCCAAACAAGCTGCAAAATTGGAGACGATGCCAGTGCCTTGTAGCCGATGAGGGAGGCGATGTTTGGCCTTTCGCGTTTTTCTGAGTCACCGGGTTAGGCCGGTAGACGGCAAAGGACTGATGGCTCACCTCGATCCTGCCGTTGATTTCAATGACCAGCCAGCAGCCAACATCAACTTCAATCAACACTTTCAACACCATTTTCATCGCTGGTTCCTGCCTGTCACCCTCTTCCCCTCTCTGCACAGATGGCGGGCGCTGAGCTGTGTGCCCGGTGATGGTGTAATCGAGGCACCCTCGTTTTTCAATCGTATAGATCAATTCGTACAGGGTCATTGGCTTTGAGCTGGTTGGTCCTTTGGGTGTGGTTTCCTCCCAAACGACCTCATGACATGAACCTTGACACGCAGCGGATTCCTGAAGCCCAGGACCATAGCATATTTTAGAACAAACAAGTACAGTAAAACGCAAATGACACATATTGTCATATTGCTTTGCCAAACAATGTTCAGTTCTGACAAAGTGCAATGTCATCTTGTGAATCCAAGCGGAATTCGATGGCTTTGTTCTCATTGCCATCCTTCGTCAGGAAATCCTTTGCCTGCATCACATGTGACATGACCGGCCAGATTGTTATGGATGATGTAACACAGAATGATCAAACACAACTACAAAAAATACAACTGCAACCAATGAATCTGTCCTTCCCGCTCTCCGAGATCCATGAACCTCCTGCATATAGAAAGATCGGGCGGGGGCTTTGCGACTTAAGCCCGGGAAGCGTGACCTTGGAAGCCGACGTGATGTAGACCTTGTCATCTGCTACGCTGCAAGTGACATTGATTCCCATGCTCAATGTCACTGTGGCCACCAATGTCGGGCGCTTTGATTGAAACTCCTCTGAAGTTAGGGACGGAGGAGGTTCGCAGAAAGTCTCGGATACCAGAGGGATCTGGTTGTCCAAGTCTGCACTGGTCTTCGAGGTCACCATTGGTGCTGGTGCTCCAGCTTCTCCATTGGTCACGGGTGCAAACACGTTGTCGAAGTTCTTCAAGCGCTGTCGCCAATCAGGGTCTTAGATTCAATGAACCAATGAACCACCACTGGGCACAGCAGAAACAACACAAATATCAAAAGAATGAAACAAATATCAGTCTGAGTTGCTGCGCACGGGGCAGCTCAGCCACTTTTCCCGCACATCTTTGGGCATGGTAAGATGTCCATCGGTCATGGTGCAAAGCTTCAGCACTGGCTCCCTTGGCTTGGTCTGCGTACTCAAGTCCGGGGATGCCTGAAACTTCTGGCTTGATTGACCCAGGAGTCCTTGACCAGCCTTCCATTCCTCCAGGAGCTTGTCCTTCATTTGGCCCACAACATAGGAGCACAAGGTTGGACTGGTTGTCTCTGAAAATAAGCCCAGGTAGACATCTTGCTGTAGTTCCGACATCAGGCCCAATGCAACCTTGATGCTACTCATCACGGAGAAATGTATAATATCAATAATATCAACAAATAGACACAACGAAAAGCCACAGAGCACTTGACATCATTAGAAACGAACACATCGCAAGGCATTGTAACCATGGAGCTCGTTGGAACACCCCGTCGTATGGACTGAAGTGGCGCAAGCAGCAGACCTGGCCCTTCATGGTGCTGACACGAGACAAGCACCCTTCAAGGATGGCACGAATCGTGCTTGGATTTGCCACCCACTGTGCTGTCTCTTCCTTGTCCTTAATGGAGCTTTGGTCTCAGGTTGCTGCAAGAGCATTAAAAAAACAGAGTTATATACACATTAAAAAGCAATTGATGGTAGCATCCAAGAATCAGTCAGGCTGCGACTTGTCTCATTGGAGAAAAGCGTAGAGGACTCCGGGGTGGTATATTCTGCCACAGGGAGAGGTGGACTCGGCTTGCAAGCATGCACCGACCAAAAGTCGTTGCGAGCAAAGACGTTGGAATCCTGGGTTGGGCGCTCTGAGTTGCGCGGCGCCTTGTACAAAGCCAGTTTCGATCCCAATGTGGAATCCTGCACCACCATCCATGCCGGAAGCGATGCCGGGAACGTCCTGAAGGCAATGTCTCGTAGAGACCCATCAACATAGACACAAATCAACCCACACCAAAACCCAAAAAACATGCGCTGATCTTACCAAAGTTCCGATTCCCGTGAGTGGAAGACACGTCGAAGAGAACTGAGACTTGCTTCATCTCTAAGTTCAAGCTGTCCAGCTTGTCCTCAATCCTCCTGTTCAGGGAACGAGAAACTTTAAGTTTGCAATGTCTGTGTCTGTCTCTCATTTGTTCGAACTTGTGCCTGAATGCTCCTCGTAGTCCATTCAGCACACCCTCGCCCGCCAGCATGGGACATATGATCAAGACCATGCCTGAAACAATTGCCATTTGAAAATCGAACATCGAAAATTCTTCCCATTTAAGCAACGTCTTTCACCACATACAAGAAAAATCAGGACCAAGGGACTGCAATCCGGGTTGAGCTGCAGCGTTCGAAGTGCCCAGTTGGATACCTCGTCCACCTGAGGCACACTCAGCCTGAAAGGTCGCAGTAGCCAACATGGTGGCACCTGTCCGGCTCAACTCCATCGAAGCCACAATCTTGATGCATTCTCCGAAGGACGGCAGTAAGCGAGTCACGCTGGCATTTGTCGGTGCATAGAACCAGGGCTCGGCGCTCCATCAACTTCTCAGCAAGTGCAAGGCCATGCGTGAGCTGGTCTCTCAAGTGTAACACCTGCAAGTATAATGGTAAGCATAATTTCAACAAAACATTGAACATTACTTTTGACACATATGTGCCTCCGCCACATGGCGATTGGATTCAACTTTGTTTCTGCGAAGGTTGAAATCCACAGCTTCACGGAAGTCGTGGCTCAGGTTGGCGACCGTCATCTTGTACTCAGCATCACGCAAGTGCTCCTGATTTGTTCTATAAGCGTTACCTCTATCCAAAATATCTTTCACAGCAACATCCGCCACTACCGACAATGAGAAAATATTGAGCGAAAAATATTCTCCCGAGTGTCTTCCGCTTCTTCAACTTCAACTGTGGTCTCTCCAGCTGATCCCAAAGTGGCGGGTTGCTTTGCTAAGGTCCGCCCTATATGGTCCTGCCACATCCCCACCATCTCGATCGTTGGATCCTGTGGTTTGGACATCAAAAAAGCATCGAGGTCTTGGGTGGAATCCCTCAGAGCAGGAGCCGTTTGTCTTTTTACACAAACACGAACACAGAAAAACACAAACACAAAAAATGACAGGATGTCGTTTGAGAAACCCATTCATGCAGGCGTTCCTCATCTTGCTGATCATCGCTGGTTCAACCTGCAAGGGTATGAATTCTTGGAAAGCTGTTCTAGAACTGATGATCTGAATTATTTGAGTTACAGATAGTTCTTTTTTCTGCCCTCCAACTCATGACCAAGAAACACGGGAATCCTTCACTGCTTCATCCACCACCCATGCAAACACAGCGCAATGCTCAATGTTCTTGCCCCATGTTTCCTCCGTCCACCGGAGCCGGCTGCGCATCGACTTCTTCATCTTGCGACAGTTTGTGTGCCACCAGTGATTGTATTTGCGAAAATGTAGTGCTTGGATACTAGGATTCACCTTGCTGGGCACATATTGTGTCTTTTTTGGCAAGTGTTTAGGAAACTTGTGAGTTGTAGGACAAATTCTAAAAATGCCAAAATAAATGCCGGGATGCTGTCAGCATATTCTGCCAAAACACAGAAGTAGCCTGTCTTGATGTTTCTCCCAATTGGTGTCGCTTTGATCTCAGCAGGGATTCATTGTAACCTGGAAGCTCAATCCTGCTAAAAGAACTGAGTCAATGAACATTCAAAACACAAAGGTTTTAACCTGGTGGTCAAAACATAGACACAACATGAAACAGGTTCGAGACACCGGATTCTTCCCACTTGTTGTGGTTCAAGTGGCTTCGTACAATCTCTCTGGATTCAGGTGTCATGCCACATACGACGCACATGACGCCCATAGTTGTATCACCATTCAATTGCCACCTTTTTATGGCAGCGTTCGCACGGTGGTCATTGTAACGTCCAATCACTTCCTGGATGATATCCCGGTCTGATTTGTCGCTCATACCGCCAGCAGCTTTCTTCTCATGAAGAAGAGCTTCAAAGCGCATGGCCATCTTCATCACCTTGTTACTCGTTATCTTAGTGTTGCCCAATTAAGATCTCAATACATCAGCAAAGCAAACATTTAGCAAAAAAACAAGAAAACAGGTTGACACCACAGGTGAAGGCACGCCCTTTCGCTGTCTCTCTGCGCCTTGTGTGCTCAATTGCATGGCATCAAAGGAGATGGTTTCAGCATCTTGGAAGGATGATATTGAAGATGGAATGCCAAAGATCTCAAAGATGGCTCCCATGAATGGTTGGATCAAGTCCTTCAGGAACAGAACAATATGACCATGACCCTTCTTCACATTGGTTCTGGTTTTATCGTCCCTGTCCTTTGCAGCCACAGGATCAAGGTCTGACACGACTTGTGCCAAAAACAGGGCTGAGCTCCTGAGTCCACTCTGGGTCAACGTTTCTCTTTTTTGATGATTGCACGACAAAACAAAAACGAACATACACAATGTAAGACTAGCGTCAACCTCGTAAAGCCCTTCTTGATACCAAGCCGTGGCTGTCCGTCAGCAGCCTCTGGCTTCAGCACATACAAATCAATAGGTTCCCGATGCAGCCGGCTTCCTGAGAACAGGAAAGAAAGGACGGTGGTAATCCAGTCATTCACGCACGGTAGACCGTCTGGTGGAAGGCAAATCTTGATGTCCTTGATGTGCACCGAGCAAGTCAAATACTGACCAGGTGTCAGTGTGCTCAAGTCTTTTGTTGAAAACAGCAACAAATTTCCAAAACAGAAACGTCAAGAGTTCAAATTGAATAAATGTAACATTGTGTATATATATGATATATCTATATCCTGTTTGCGGTGGCCTTCAAAATGTTACCAAGGGAATGAAGCAAGTCACAGGGTTGGGTGAAGCAGCAAAGCGCTTCCCCTGTGCTTTGTTGGATTCCTCAAGGAAGGTGTAGAGCTTGTCCAAAGTCAACGAAGCAGTGGACTCATCCTGGAAAACATCTACCACCATCTGGCATGGATGAGGAAGTTCAGCACCATCTGGACCCTCCACAAAATTTGACAGGTACTCTAGCACTTCCTTTCAGGAAATAAGCAACAAACATGGCGTTTTGCTGTTTGACTTTTGCCACGGCTGTCCTTGCAAAATGAAGTGTCGCCCGGGAGTTTCCGCAGTGCAGCGCTCCACTCTGTTTTCTGCTTTTTGATCACTGGGTCCAAGTCTTTCTTCGCCTTGTCTTCTCAAAAAGAACATGAACATAATGACACAATGAATCTTTGTCAACCTTTAGTTGAAAATCAGCAACTACGAATTGAAGCACAGTTGAGTCGCAGAATCTGGTTTCTCTTCACTGCCTTTGTCATCCTTCTTGACCACAATGGCAGTGGCTGCCCCCCTCAAAGTTGGACAGTCCATAGCCCCCACAAAGATTGCTAAAGGAGCAAAACGGCGTAATGGACATTTGCGTAATGACCAAAAATCGGCGCGGGTGGGGGGTAGAGTGAAGGAAAGTCTCCGTGGGTGGTGGGTTTGTACCAAGAATTTCGTCGTTGTTCTGCCCCAGACCCACAGAGACTTTCTGAATGAAACTTCTGACGTCCTATGGGACCCCCATTGAAATTTTGGTCGCTAAGTGTTATCAAAGTCGATGTGGTTCTGGTGCAGAACCACAAGGACTCTATAGGACGTAGCCCCCCCCAGTGAAATCAATACTTTAGCAAAATTTGATTTTCGACGCAGGTAGGGTTACGTCCCTATAGATCGATGGGGTTCTGCCCCAGACCCACAGAGAGATTTTGGTCGCTAAGCGTTATCAAAGTCGATGTGGGCGCCATCAAAGTTGACGCACGTGCAGCCTTTCGAAGCTAGCGGGGCACATGTCAGCAGCCCTCACTCCATCTCTAGTCAGCCTCAGCAAACCAGATATGGGAGCTCTCAAGGTAGATGTAGAAAACTTGAACTTGTGAGCTTCTGAATCATTTGAGGTGCACTCAAAAGAGAACCAGCACTCTTTTCTTCAGACTACCTGCGTGTCTCACCTACCACGACGCCACACAGCACGTAAATTGGCTGATGGTGCCAAAACAGCTAAAACACATGGATGCGGGAGCTCCTGCTGTTGCAGAACCACATCTGCTTGGAAATCTGCTTCATGCCATGTTAGCGGCAGCAAACCTTCATCATCAGGCAAGGTGTTGTTGGACCGGTTGCGCAAGTATGCTGCTGCTGCTCCCTGAGAAGTTTCAGAACCCCCTAGGATCCGTTCAAAAATAGCACCCAAACTCTGCCAGTCTTTCACTGCAGCTTCGTTCACAGGTCTGAAAGGCATTACACCTTGGCTGGCTCCAGCAATGAGCTTCTTCTTACACCAATACATGACATAGCCATAAGAATTCAAGAATGACAAACCGTTTTCCATCTTGGAAGTCAAAACAATGTGTCAAAGTGATTACGAATCTGAGAGAGAAGCTGTTGGTCACCAAAGGATACTTGTCCACATCCTCTGCACAGGTCACCAGCATCGGCTGTTGTCGAAGCTCACTGCTGCAAATGTACTCCTTCACCAATACCACAACGTCATTGTCATTCCTGGCTCTCCGGTTTTTTCGTCCCTCGTTGATTTCCATACCAGCTGGTATATCTGAAGGGCAGGGCCATTGGTTTTTGCCCAGGTTTGGTTCTGATATCTTTTCAGTATAAAACTGCTAAACACTTTGATTTATAGTTCTGAAACTGAATTCTGATTGCAAAAGCTCACGTAACCTCTTTTGCCCTGCCTTTCCGCTTGCGAAACATAAAGAAATGATTTGCTTCCCGGTCGATCAATAAGCCACCTTCCTGGGACATACCAGGAAGTTAAGGTAGAACAAAATACCGAAGGATAGCAAGTGCCCCAAAGAATTGGAAAAGTATTGGATGATAGTTGCGCAAGATTCAAAGCTAATGGGAGCGTGTGCTTGACAGTGCGTCTTCCAGTCTCTGTACTTGCGAAGCACATGAACAATGACCTTGCCGTTGATCCATTTCTGCAAGGAGCTTTTGCTAAGTTCATCTCGGATGATGTCGCAAGCTGAATCTGCATCAACTATCTGTGAAGACCAGCCCAATCTTCGTGATAACGGCCCCCACAATTGGTCTTGGATGGTTGGAACTCCAAACTGGCAAAAGCAACAAAGTTGGTGTCGAATGACACAAAGTTCAAAGCAACAAATAAGGTCGAAGAAAGAAACATAGGAATGAAACACAGTCCAATATTGTCAGCTCAGTCTCCGATCATATCGTGTGTGTGGGACACACGAAACATGCAAGCGCATGTAAACCTGACTTTGACACATCCTGAAAATGGATGAGGCACTGTATAATTTTGACCCATTACTGAAAAAAACACAACAATCAAACACATACGTATACAACAGGAACAAGTGGCTTGAAACGGTGATGGTTCACATAGTTCATCTTGAAAGGCAAAAGGTGTTCTTTAGCCCTTTCACCGTGTTGTCTCCAATGATGACCAAACACTCTGGTTTGATCTTGGAGTATTTAAACGCATCTTCCACCGCCAACGCAATAAGTTCACAGATCATAGCAGAACCGGATCGTTGGTTTTCCTCCAGGATGCTGACCCTCGGACTTACGCCATACGTCCAAATTCCGTGGACCTTTAGAGGTGGTCTTTGCTGCTTTGCGCTCCGATAAGCTGTCACCAGCATTGGATCACGTGGCACCATGTACTTCGCCTCTGTTCAGAATCTGTTTCTTTGGAAACTGAGGACAGGAGAGAGACAACATAGCAACTTGTATTACACAGAAGAAAAAATGTACATGTTTTATGCAAAAAGCATTGGTCCGCACCGTCTGCGCAGCAGGTGATGGTGCGTGACATAGCATCAGCTGAGATATCTCTCAGGCTGTAGAACGCACAGCGGTCAGCAAATTGGTCCAAGAGGTGTTTGCGGTATAGTTTGAGTCCGTTCAAGCGGGTCTCAAAGCTCAGTTCCCTGTTCGTGAACCTGGCTTGATATCTTCTCAAAGAAATGCATGCCTAATCACATACACACCTCCATACCTTTGTGTCTTGCACCAGCTTTGGGAAAAAGTAACACGTAAAACTTTCAAAGGTCATCTATCAAGAAACTGGTGTTTCAATTCCTGGCAAACATCGCACTGTGAAAATGCGCTTTTGTTCCTGTATTTCATGACTAATGTCCAATTGGAGTTCCACACCCTCATCCAAGCGCCATACCTGTCAGAGATCCAACAAAGAGTTTGCTATGAGAGTTGTTCAACGACAAACAAACACATATATATGTCAAACTAAAATGACAAGCAAAATTTGTCCAAGTTGCGAGGCAATGTGCGCTGCACACCAGCCGCAGTAAAATTGATACGTCTCAAAGTAAGTCCCTGGTGGCAAGTATTTCCGGACTAAGCCAGAGACATCCTTACACTTCCCATCGAGAGAGAGGCAAGGAAAACGGTTACTGCAAAGAACCTGTTTAGCATACAGAACGTACAACGTACGTTTAAACATATGCTGAAGGAGAACATCGTAGGATCGGTGAGGCCTGCCGTCTTTGTCATGGTCAGGATGAAAGACCCATTGGCCTGCAAAAACTGCACGAGCTCATCCTCGTCGTTGCCTTCAAACTCACTTGCAAACACAACACCACCCGCACCCCAACCATCGCTTCCAGAGCCAGTGTCAGTAGGGCTTGGTCGCCGCTTTGCAGGGCCCTGCCGAACGAACCTGATTTTGAAGCACATTGTGAAGTTTCAACGAACATGTTGTTTCTATCTACTTATATATATATACATATTTATGTGTGATCTTTAAAAAGGTTTGTCTTTGCTACTCTATTTTACCTTTTGCGTTTATTGATTATCTTTTGTGTACTTGTTTTTCAATTTTTGTATTGTTTCATCCCCTTTTTTTAACGACCACTCTTTTTTGTGTTTACTATATGTTTTTACTCATTTATATACCTGTTCATTGTTCTCATCTACTTATTATGCAAGGAACACTGTTTGTTTTATTTCCATTTACAGCTAAACATAGATTTATTCGCATGTCGTTTGTGAAAAAATCGAACCGCCCGTCTGGGAGTGGTTCCGCAACCGAGTTGTAGAGCACCGTGCAAAATGCATCTATTGAAGCTGTTAGCTCCGACGGTCGAGGTGCTTGCTTCCCAAATCTAGCATCGATGCTTCCAATTCGATCTATCTG